TAAGCGCAGACACCACATACATACCTAAATGCACATATTCATTCATTCATCTACTTAACTAAACATTAATATATGCATATTTATATTGCCTATATATAATACATACATACATGCATAAACACGTTCATGCAAAGTCATAGAAAATCCTGCTCAACTGAATAAAATGTAAATATAGAAAAAAAAAAAAAAGAAGCTTCTAACGGAATATTTATATTTACTCAATGTTAATAAATCATCATCATTAAATGAGAAGAGAGTGTGAAAAAACAAGTGTTGTAATATATAAGAACTTGTATATGAATGAAACGAACATAAATGTGCTGTAGGTGTATATTAATGTATATCTAAATGTTTATTCATTCTGTCTTCCTGCTTTTTTTGTTTTTTTTTTTTTTTTTTTTTTTCTGTTTAGTCTGCGATGTTTGTATACGTAGGCATTGGATGTTTTTGAACTTGTTACTAAAAAACGAATTTAAAAATAAAAACAAAAAATCTTGATAAAATTTCCAACAAAACAGAGAAAAAACACAAAATAAAAAAAAAAAAAAACAAAAAAAGCCAAAGTAAAAACAAAAGATAAAAAAATCATACGTACGGATGCCTGAATAAGTGTGAAATCTCTCTTTAAATGTATATAGATAGGTGTATTAAATTTTGTAATAGAAAAAATAGAGAGAAATTAATTTTTCTCAAAAAAGTTGACAATAAAAGAATCTCTCGCGCTCTTCCGTATGTGTACACTGCTAACTTGTTAACACACATTAAAATTTGCTACCTATACAGCAATTAAGAGCATTAATATTCATGGTCTTTATCGATGTAACAACTAATGTTACTTTAAATGAAAGAGAAATTATTTATTATACATTATGGATCTTGAATTGAATATTTCCCATTTTCTAGTCATTATTATCCATTATGGATCTTGAAATAAAAAACATGCTTCAATAAATAATGATATCTTAAGAAGATGTTAAGAAGAAGCAAAAGATTCTTGATATTATTTTAATTTAAGAAAAAAAAAAAACAAAAGAGATTTCATTAAATAAGAAGTGATGAGATAAAATTTTATAAGGTTTTCAATTCCCAAGTAGAATTTGAATAAAATGGACAGCAAAAGAATAAACACAAATGCATGATCGAGTGTATATATATAAATACATTATATATGCTTTTATTTTTATAGAGCTTCAGGCCCGCATAGTAGTTAAATAAAGAAAACTTTAAAATGTGAATGAATAAATAAGAAAACTCTTTTAAGATAAATTTCGGAAAATCATCAACTGAGCCGGAGTGAGAAAAGCGTTTTTTTTTTTTTAATTTTAAAAGTTTGACTTACTAACTAGCGATCAAACGTTCTTTTTAGCAATGATATTTTAGACGGGTATCGTAAATGCTTTTGTCAAATTTTAAACCTATTGGTTATTTTATAGCAGCATACCTTATTTACATGGCCTGATAACTTTATGCTAATTAAGGAACAATATGTTACTTTAGGATTTACTCTAGAACACAAATACTAGTTTTTCATTAGTTTGCGGACATATCAATAGCCTATAGGTAAACCACTTTTACATATGAAATCGACATCCATTTTATTTTACTATGTAAATTTCTCAAAAATTCGCATGATTCACTTTTGAAATTGACTCATGGATGAAATTCAAAGAAGGATTTCAATTTCGCTACTTTGAAATTCAACTAACACTAATAAACGGACAAGCAAGTGTAAATGGATGGATGCGTGGCCATTGATGGTAATTTTTTAATTTAAATTTTCTTAAACCTCGACTAAAACAGTCAGTGTAAGGATTCTGTACATTCTTGTAAATAACTAGTGAAACGTCCACATATATACGTAGTCAGTAAACTGACGTTTTTCGTGAGAAAATTTTTAACTAAGAAAAAAAGAAAAAAAACTACAATAGCGGATAAATAAAATGGAATTAATAGCAAATAAAATCAAAGGAAAAACTACTCGTATAAATCTAAAAATATTGAATGAAAAAGAAATGTTGAAAATTGAGAAAAACATAAAAAATATTAAATTGAGTTGCCTATGATCGATCTACCCGTCCGTGCTACTAGGCTGAGAATGAATTGAAAAAATTGTTTTCAAAAATTCCATATCACTACAAGAGTTGGTGGATGATTTGAAGACTTGCGCAGTTTCCTTGTTTTACCCCTGATTGTTAAAAGAAGACTTCTAGTACTTGTAATGGCCGGGCGGGTTGAACTGGTATTTGGAAACTTCATATGAGTTTATTCAATACATGTGCATCTACATTTGTATATGCATTCGAAGATGTATTTGTAAGTATATATAGACAAAAGCATATATTAATAAATAAGTTCACATATATGAAGAATATGTAGATAAACTGCGAAAATTATGATAAATAGCTTCGAGGAATTAACTCTCGTAGTAGCAGAAAGAAAATAAATTTTTAAATCAATTCGAACAGGAAATGTTCTTTTAAAAAGTCCTTTAAATGTACTGCATAGATGTCAAGTGCACGCAATACTGAAGTAGTCATTAATCGAAATTCTTGCAAATATAAAAAATAATTTATAGATATATAGTAGACCGAACTTTTCAATATCCATCTCTAGCTTCGATTGAAACGAGGAAAATCTTTAACAAATTGTGATAAATGAAATCGTAATTTAAATGATCGGAGATGAATGCATACAAATATTGTACATTTAAGGAGAATTTACGCTTTTATAGAAATTTTCCTTCACTTAATAAAAAATTGTTCAAACTATTGACAGACAATGCATCAATAAATTGATATGAAAAACAATTGTAATTTCAAAAACATAGAAACAATTCGAAACAGTTGATGAAAGTAATAATTCATAATTCGTAACTGTAATCAAGTAAATTTCAAACGTAAAATATTTACTAAATTCTCTTATATTTTCTGAAAGCTAATCAGCTAATGTGGATATTATAGCCAATGTTCCTAAATGTCAATGACAAGACTGAATTTTGATTTAAGTGTTCACTTAGTTATCTTTAGTTGCAATTAACTAGAGACCGTGAACGAAGCATCTTCAATATTACGAATAATGAAATTTTGCCAATTGCTTTCGATAAAAAATTTTATTTACAACATTCTTCAAATACACGGTGCATGTGCTCTTGTAAAGTTTCTGAACGTTTGATTGTTTTCCCTGGAAGAACGGAAACCCCGAAACGCCCAGAAATTTTCATGCTTTTTCAATTCCGTGTTCGTATATATTTGGACCCTTCTATGAATATTTTCCTAAACAGCGTTTGTAAACGATGTTCAACGATTAAGCGATTTACTTCCTGCTTTTTAAATGATTACGAAAAAGATTTACTTGAATATGCGCGAACCAGTTAGTCAATCGGTCCTAATAAATATTTGTATTCGATTTCATATCGACTGTTAAGTTGTTTCTGTGGGCATATTTCGAGGCGGATCAAGTTCGCTTTAGGGTTGAAGTTGCAAACTGAACTTCGTGAACATATATATATCAATTCTTTTACGAATTGTTACTCACAGTTTCTTGGGTATTGCGACGGGTGGGCCGATCATTTTCAATTTTCAGAATATTAAAAAAAAATTGAAAATATAAATAATAATGTAGATATGGACTTAAAGGTGCAGGTTTGGTTGTGATAAATGCAGGGACACGTCTAGCATGTCCCCGTCGTTTAAAATGGGTTCTGAAAGTGATAGATATTCAAGCCTTACTAAATTGAATGGCGGTGTCACACTCAAGGGAGCATATATGGTAATTAACTTCCATAGTCAAAAACATACACCCGAGATATACAAATTACATTTGATCAAGATTAGAACGAGTTTATTCGAGACTTCTACGATGTGCCCTATTGGACACTTCTCTCTTTCTGACTCTCCCTCGAACATTGAAACAGCTCAGTTCAAGTACGAAGTGTGAAAATGGACAATAGAAATATAGAACAAACGAATTCTATCATCATTATTTGTATCATTTTCCTGTCATTTCACAAATGCAATATGGCTCATAATTTATTGAAGACATTTCGCTTTTCAGAATAACCTATTGTTGACAGACATTAAAAAGTTTCTCCCGAAACTCACAATTGATTTATTATTTGTTATCTCCTGTTTTGAACCATGTGCAGACTTAAGATTTACTTTAACTAGATACAAAACATAATTGCATAAGCTGTATACTTCTTTCTCTTTTCATTGTGCCATTCAAAATTAAGTTTAGCTAATGCCAACAATTTGCGAACGGAATATATTTTTTACATTAATAGAGTACAGTAGCCTTGTCCTTAACTGAATAGGTTTTAAAAGTAATATTCGAAAATAACTGCCTATTAGTTCCGGACATTCCTGAACGAATATAAAGATAAATTCTAAAAAAGGATTTCGCAATTGTCGGCTTAAGCTGCATTTTCGCATATATTTAACAGTTGTTTTAATTGATAAAAATAACAGTTTCTCTTTTTATTTTAAATAAAAAAAAAAAAATAAAAAAAACTAATATTAATAAGAGACACATGAAAACACGTTGTATTTGACAACAAACACGTTTTCAACCACTGTAAACAGCTGAACGTTATAGCATAATCGACATGTTTTACTTACATCGGATATACTAAACGCAAGTAAAAGAAAGAGACAACTACAAGTGTGTGCAAAGAAAAATTCTAAGGCGAAAAAAAAGATTTTAATATAGTTTTTGAAAGAATTTAAATAAATCAAAATTCCATTAAAATAAAAACCACAACTTTGTCCGCTAAACTTTACTACTAAAACATTATGAAAATCGTTGTTTTATAAAAGAATAAAGGACTAACATATATTACACGCTTCTTAAAAATAAATCTGAAGCAAGCATACGCAATGAGCAGGCGAATTTTAAAGGAGAAAACAAACTGTCAAATAAACGTTGGCATAGAATAATGTGAAAAGGCACATAAAGTCATGAGTTTTTACGTAAAAAACTTTACTTGTTAGCCTTTTACTTACCATTTTATTTTAATATTATTTGCAAATATCCAATAAGTTCCTTTCCTATGTTTTCATTAATTTACAAATTTATCTATTTATATCTATTTATGTTTATATATGTATATATATTAGCACGTAAGAGTTATGCCCGCAGTCTTTTTTTTTCTGCTTTTTTTATACAAACTCTTAGAACGTTTTGTATGAATTCTTAAACATGAAAAAAGTTGGCCTTTGTTTTCTTATTTATAAGATATTCATTGAAAATCTTAGTAAACTTGTTAATAATTGCGTTTACGTTGATCAAATTTCTATAACAAAATTATTATTTAAGCACATTCTAATCTAAAATTGCTGTGGCGAAAAATTTCATTTTTTTTGCTTTTTCTTCTTTGACTATATAAGTTACTTCACGAAATCTGTGGTGGTTTTACGACATTTTTTTTTCAATTCTATAGTTAGACTTTAAATTAATATAAACACTTCTTTTTAGTTTTTGTACTGTTATTAAAAACTCCGGCTTTTATTTTTCAATTGATATCACGCTTTTATTTTACCGCAACCACACGAGTGCCTTTTTGACTTTGGTGAGAATAAAATTCTATTTCTCAGAGCAAAATTTATTTTCCTGTACATTTTAATTATTTTTTAAAAAGTGTTTCTCTCTCTATTGCTTTCTCTCTTTTTCAGACTTCTCCTAGTATAAAAAAAAAGTTTCACAAAACCAATGCCAGATGCCAGCAATACCTAAATAAATTATGGCAATGATGGCAAATGAGTGAGATGGGGGATAAACACTTTGTTATAATGTTTGCAACACCCAGAAGGAAAGAAAAGCATATATATATATATTCTTGATCAGCATGAAATTCTGAATTGATTAAGCCATGTCTGTCCGACTGCGTTTCTTCATTTTTACGTGGCCCCAAAAACGTCGACTTTAAATTTGGTGGATACATTGGGAGTTTCTGCACGCATTTTGACATTGAAACGGGCGAAATTGGTCAGAGTAAAACAGTGAAGCATAAACCGAACGCAACTCCGATTTTCTAAACAAAAATTTGTGGGGATTTGTTTATCATTCAAAAATTATGAAATTATGAAAGATAAAAGATTGAAAATTTTTATATTTACTGTATGAAAAACTCTACTATATATGCGCGAAAGTGCATAAAATCGATTTTATGCCCATTAATCATACCAATTACCATCCATATGCTTTGTGAATATTAAATTAATTATGATGCATGTCACGGCGTTGTAGATTAATTTATTTTAAGAATACTTTTGAATGAAAATGAAAGATAAATTTTATTCCATTCGCTTTTTTATGACAACAAATAAAAGCATGGAGCACCAAAATTCTTAACGGCGATGGATGTGCGAGATTCGACCCCAACCGAATATAATATTCTTACTTGTTATTTATTTATACAAAAATCGGATCAAGGAGCGCCTATATATTTTTTACTGATTTTACCGTCTTCCCATTAGGTTATGAAATAAAATTATAGTTCTGGACGTATTCAATGCATTTATTCTTTTCCCCTCGGCAAAAGTGGAGTTTTTTATTTTCTTAAAGACCCAAGTAATCGCTTGCGTTATCAACTGAAAGTATACGCGAATAAGTATTTGCGAATTGTGAAGAAAAAGAAAAAAAAATTTGGTAAAAGTAAGTAAAATTTTTTTCTAATTAACGAGCTAAATAAAGCAATGTTAACTAATATTTACATTTCCACAACAATGTATGGTAACTTCCATTTATGCTCGTTCATTAAAGAGAAGAACAATGACAACTGCACTGCAGAAAAAACGAGACGGGCAAGAAAGACCCCCTATCACTACCTTAAAATGAGGAAGTGAATTGTTTCTAATATTTGCAAATGAGGTTTAATATATGTTATATCATTATATGTAGATTTGTGCAGTAGTTCCACGTTTCCAAAGCGGCTTTTCATTATATGCTGGGTAGAATTGGTATGAGCGTTGATATGAGTACATATATACTGTCGGTGTTGCGCTTAGTCATGACTCAAGAATTGTTGGTTTCAGAAGATTGCTAATGGCTGCCCTGCAGCGATCATATCGTAAGTGTTGCAAGAAACACGTTATCAACTATTGTAATGCGTTGTAATGGGAAATTTGATGAAAAGTATTGGAAATATGTCGACAATGGTACCTGAATAGGCTCTTGGCGACAATCAATTGTCTTCTTAAAAAATCGATCCCGGCGATGATCTGCTGCTGACATGATTACCCCGCTGAATTCCATTTGTAGTCTAAACATTTGAATTATAAATTCAGTTTGCTTTTCAAGTCATTTAAAGAGAATAAATTCTTCAAATTTTTTCTTTATATTTATTTTTGCTTACATCGATTCCTTATATATATATTATCGTATTTATAATTACGCGTCGCAACTTAATAATTAGTTGTCTTCTTAACCTGCAGTCCGTAAAAGTAGGATACGAGACAATTTACGATATTGTTAAGTAAAATTCTATCAAATTAAATTCATAATATTAGATTTTTAGTAACGTAGGTCATTATTTCTCTTTATTAAATTTTTTGATTTTTGCAACAATACAATAATGGCTGAATTAATATTTTTTACAGTTGGTATATGGCCTGATAAATAATGCCTTCTATTATACTATATCATTAAATTGCAAATCTTCTTTAAAGTCAAGTATGTGTTGTATGAGTTCAGTCTCAATATTTGGATCCAATCAATTTTACCCAAATTATGTTGGCTGCTCAAGCATTACATTCGCACTTGAATTTATTCTGCTTTCAATAATAAATGGGATTTTTCGTTAACCTCCAGACAGATTGCCGGATGGGCGAAAAAGACTAATTTACCTCGCAAAAAATATCATTATAATGCGTAAAATTGTGAATTGCTTAAAAAATACAACACCATCTTTCCTTTATCATATTTGCGCTCTCTACTCTTATCGTTAGTCTGCTACGTCAGTCTTTCGTAGGATTTTCTTGATTTTTTTTTTGTTTGTTTTTTCCTTCAAGTGTTTCTTGTCTACATTCCAAAAAACAAAAATCCAAAAAAAAAAGAATAAATTTTCGTGAATTATTTTTTAAATATCCAAAATTAAATGACATATGATTCAAAATTTGTTGTGTAAATGGTTAAAACGAAGGAGAAAAAGCGGAGAACGAAATGTTCGGACCACATCCACACGATTATAGTGAAATTGCTGATAAGTTTCGGAAAACAGGTTGCTACAAATATCTGACATCGCCAGTGCTAGCAGCGTCTCGTTGCGGTCCCTGTTTTAGTCCGCAAGAAAATTATTATGATTGGCCTCAGTCTTCCATACCACAACTGGGACCACATCGTTGTCAGTTTAAGAGACATAAATGCAAATGCAAAAATGTTTGCGATGAAATACGTTACAATCTATGGTTAGCTTCAACAAAATCCAGTATTTACATACCCGACACAGCTACAAAATGGTTTGAGGGCCAACAACAATTAAATGCTTTATACAAACGTTTTTCAGAACTTTCATCTCAACAAGCGTTGGCATATAGAATGCGTTATGCGCCATGTACGGTACCAGCAGCATTGAATTTAAAACCCCCGTTACGGTTAATGGGCTATTCAAATGGCGAAGATAATGCAAAATATATGTCACCGGAGTTTGCCGACTTATTGAATAGACATAATGAAATTATGCATAGATTGCATCTTATATCCAATTTGCCGCCAGAATATCATCCAAGAATTTTAAAACACCGTAGGCAAAGACTGGCGAGTGGCAATGAACAAAGCATCGAAAAATTGGTTACCCCTCCAATCTCATTATCAAAGCCGTTCTATTCAAATGTATATGGAAAAAAAAACTGCGAAAATCCACTCAGTTCGGGTTGTCTGACATGCGATCAAGGTTCTTGTTACGCCAAAACACATACAAAAGTTAAATCTTGTCAGGAACTGCCTGAGGAGAAGAAAACTTCTAGTAAACGTAAACGGAGATCATTCAGTTCAGCCTCACATAGTGAAAAATCAAAAATTCTACGGGAGATTTGGAAAAAGCCGAACGCTATCGAAATGCGTGAATCAGTTGCATTATTTCGATTAGATAAGCAAGAGTCCAAGCATATTCCGTTAAAATTACTTAAGAGTAAAAATAAAATGGAAAGTAAAAGTTCACTATTACCACTAATATTAGAAGAACCTGAAAATAAAAAAGTGTTACAAAAATCATCACCGCCGCCTGTACCACCCAAACCAAAAAAGAAATACATTTTAGGAAAACTTAAGATAGTACCTCATTTAACTGAAAAAGTATCAGAAGAACCATCGAACTGTATAAATATATCTCTGCCGCTTCATCGCTTCGAATTAGATAAAGAACTATCATTAAAGTCGTCTCTCTGCTTATCTTACAAATCGATAAGGTCAAGTAAGTCGGAGATGGTACAAAAAAGTTCCAAGATGTTTCAAGCAGTACAAAAAAGTAATTCGGCGCCAACATCGTCAACTAAATCGCCGGCAAAAACATATGGCATTGGCGGGCAAAAGAATACAAGCGTAAAATACCGACAGCTAATAAAAACAAAGTCTGAACTTACCAATATATTTCCCGGAATTGCTGAATAGTACAGCAATCAATCATTAAACATATAGAACACGATTGCAGCAAACGTATTTTGTATATACACGTTCTGAAATTGGGTCGAAAGAGATTGAAAATGTTCGCAATCTCTTACTTGCTATTACTATTTTTTGCTTAGCAAAATTAGACGTTCGATAATGTCACAACGAATCCATTTAATTGAACGGACAGATAGATCTTGCCTTGGGCCAAACACAATTTCATTCATTTTCTTAATATGCGTTACCGGATGAGTATACTCAAAGGGATTCGGTATTTTTGAATAGAACTAAACTTTATTCAGCTACCGCTTTCGAGAAGCATTTTAATTGTTTTTATTGAAAAGCAATTCTTGTCACAATTTCGCAAAACTTAATATTAACATTATTGGCTGACATTGCGAATTTCTCGGGCAGAGAAATGATAAAAAAAAAAAAAAAAAAACGACAACAGAAAACCATTTTAGCTCCGACATCTCAAGAAAAAGTGCACCTTTCGATTTAAACATTTAAACATTGCGGAACATGGAACCTGCATGAATCAAGCAAGGTCAACGAATCATGTAGATAGATAGTTTATATTAATAACACTATTATATATATATATATATATATATATATACAAATGCGTTAAGAACTGTTTTCAAAGCCAGCACTTACCCGCCAAAGTTAATATTCGCGATTAATTGAATTATTACAAATTATTTCATAAATTTTTATTCGCCAGAGAAGGAGGTTTCCAATGCTTCATAAATTGCATCTATCAATTACTGATATTGGAAATACTTATTCTAATCAAATAATAATTATGAGATAGTTTGCAGTCGCACAATACTTACATCAAGTGATGGCTATAAAATCGATTCTTAAATTATAACCGTTACATCCATATCCACTTGAGTTTGTTAATATCTCTTAAATTTATTTATTTTCAATTGCATAAACAAAAATAAACCAAAAGTTTTACAATATCAATTTCTTAGTTTACCCATTTCCTCCACATAGTGCTAGTCTAGCATTTAACCGTTACATTAGCAGACGTTCCCTCGTTCGTGCATGGAATAACAATAAATTTCTTTATTACTTTTTCACGCAGTTTTGACGAACTTTCCTGTCCTATCTTTGTTTTCTTTCTCTGCAGATTATCATCGATCAAGCAATGAATTAAAATCGAAAAGTAGCACAAAAATCTGTTATAAATACTCACTACCTTAGCGTCAGCATGCATTCAATAAATATTGCGTCTCCGCTTGGATCTATAGCGAAATGTTACAACATCTCGAAATAGTTGGATATGTCTTTAAAAAATATTGAGGTTATGTACGACTACGTTCGTAGTCGTAAAATGGCATTCGTCATTTATCAAAACCTTGATTCATAAGATGTCGGCAATCTCCAATTAGAACGAGTATCAAAAACTCCGTAATTGGTTTCATTTTGAAAACCGCGAATACGTTTACGATATTAATCATATGATGACTTATTATAATACGTTTCTCGATTTGATGCCTCCATCGTGTTTGGGATTGGGAAAAAATTACTGAAAATACTATGGTGAGACGCGCCCCTGCATTTAGTTTAATACAGTTATTCATATATAATGATTTTTTACAAAAACTCTTTATATGGAAAGTGGTCGAAAAAAATGGTCCGATTTGATTCATTTTCATTAGCGATGATTTCATTTCACCAAAATATCTCGAAAATTGCCACCTGTTAGTTGACAAAGTAGTAAATCGACAAAGAAATCAATTTTGTCAAATTTGGACCAAATAAAATCTATTTTTTGGATCCTCTCGCATATAAGAATTCTCGGAAAATCGATGCCCTTATATGCCAAAAAAGCCTAATTGTTAATGTTTTATGATGAAAATTTTTTCATGATAGTAAGACATAAATTTAAATGGACCTAGTTTAAATCACATGGGTCGATCTCTTGACCTCACTTCACATAAGAACAGTAACTCCTTGAGGAGAAGTTTTAATTTTTAATAATTTATGATGAAAACTTTTCCATAGTTCCATAGCGTAGCAACTTAACAAAAAAAAAAAATTCTCCGTATTGGATCACGTAGGTCTAGTTGTTAGACCGTACCATATATAGGGATTATTTTGTAGGGGCAGTCTTTTATACTGAGAGAAAATGCTATTGATAGTTTTTTATGACCGAAGATAAAAAGTAATATCAGTTTTAAGAAGTAAATTGTAATGGTCGGACTTCACCGACTATAATGTTCTTACTTGTTCTTCGTTAGGTTCCTACTTGAATCAAAACGAGGTAATGTACTAAATTTAAGCAAAATATCTCTGTAATAAATATAACTATAGTCAATATGAAAATACATCAATTGATGGCGGGCAGACAGATGCCGAGAAAGGTCGACGTTGAGTCGACTGCGAATTTAGAAAACAATTTGATTCTTCAGAATCTTTTAGGAGCTTCTTTTTTTCTATTCGCTCTTAATGAAAGCTTCTTGCTCCCTTGCTTTGAGCCGTGCTTATTTAGAGTATGCTTGAAGGATTCTGAACTTTGCCCTATAATCCCCGCACTCCAACTGTAGTTTTATAAGGTTTTATCGCCTTTTCCTCTGTTATTTGTTGAAGCGAACGTCGATTTTTTAATATAAATGGGGATTTTCTTGGTTCAATTGTTTTAGATAACGGGCTTTGGTCGCTTCGACTTGCTGACTGAGTTTCCTTAATTGAAAGAGATCTATTTTCGATTCGATTGGATCTTAGCATCCGTAGTTTTGCTATTGAAGTTCTTTTGCTGTTTGAAGTTGACGCTCTATGAGATTTTTGTGTTGATTCACGGTTAGCTAGAATTACTGGTGCATTGTTATCCTGCTCCAATTCTCTGCTACGACTTCTCGTTTTCAAGGCTTTTGCACTATATTTTTTCGGGTTGCGTTTAGATTTACTAGTCCCTCCCTGATGTGAATCATCATCTTTTTTTAATTGCTTCTCGCGAATTGTTTTTTTCAAAGCTTTCATACTATACTTTCTCGGTTTGGGTGGACTAGATAATGGAAAGCTTTCTTCGTCACTTGTAGAAGTTTCTTGTCGCATAGCACCTTTATGCTGATGGCTTTGTCCCTGAGATGCTTCTTTTCGCATTCCTGTCCCATACCCAAATTCTTCACGGCGCAGATGAACAGATACATCCGAGCGTCGCATTTCTAAGTTGTTTGGCTTTACCCATATCACCTGCAGAGGCTTAGATTTCCTAGCACGCACTGCAGATAGCTTAATTTTTCGGTGCAGTGTTGGTTCAGAAACTACTTTTTTACTTCTCTTTGTAAAGCTCGTACATCGGCGATCTGGCATTTTTCCACCTTTACAGGGTTGTTCCGATCGTATGGCTAATGATGAAGTTGGTCTTAATGCTTCTATGCTGATCTTTGGTTTTGTAGGATGTAGCTCGTATTCATCGGGCAGAGCGTTTAAATTGTGTAACTCTTTCAGGCTTTCAGTATGTTTACGTAACAATTCCATGAATTCTGGCGACATATACTTCATTGATTTCTCCTCTTTCTTTTCAATACACTGCCTTATTGGTTGCTTTAAATTTAAACGATCAATGGGTGGTGGAATAAATAACGATTGACCTTGGGAGAAATATTGACGATAGGCCATTAAAGCCATTTCCGGACTCGACTGTCCACAGTTTGTCAATAGTTCTTTTAATTTCCTTTGACTTGCATACCATTTGGAAGCAGTGTCCGGTATTAAAATGCTTGATTTTCTTGAAGCTGCTCGTAAATTACGATGAATTTCATGGCAAGATGCAGTTTTGTTTGATAGACTATGTTGATAACACCACGGCGATACAAGATCTTTAGGCATGTCATAGTAATTGCTATGAGGGCCAAAGTAGTCACCGCAGCGCGATGCCGCTAATATTGGCGACGTCAAGCATTTGAAACCGCCTTTTTTGCGAAATTGATGAGCAACTCTGCTGTAATCCTGCGGGCACTGTTTGCTCATTTTTTTTCCAGCAATTTCGGTGTAGTTTTAATCATTTACATAAAATTTTTGGAATTTAAATATACAACATATAATTTCACATGTGCAAAAAACAGTTTTTCATATATATTTTTTAAAATTTTTTTATTTATTTATTTTTTTTTGTCTATTGATTAACGAACAGCAAACAAAATAAAAGCAAATGGAAACTTGAAAATCATGTTTACGGAAAGACGTAGTATCCACGGAAAATTTAAATTTGATTCAATTTTCAGAAAAAGGAAAAACAAAACAAGTAAAAATAATATAGTCGGGCAAGGTCGACCCTTAAATATTCTACGAGGCAGCGGCAGAATCCGCCCAGGAAACGTTTCTTTCGGTCTGTGAATTATGAGTTCACACTCATGATGGCTGATGTGAAGGATAACTCTCTGCGTATAATAGAACTTGATAATAATTTATATCAAAAGTTTCCCAACATAGAAGTTTTTTTTTATTTTAAACAATCGAAATAAGAACCTCGGATATATTCTTGGCAAAATCAGTGGCCGCTAATGTTCCATTTAAAAAACGTTACATTGTCTACATACCGTAGGAATTTTGTGAGATTCGTAGGGTCGCACCCATCCTTTTTTTTACGAAACACGAAATTTTTAGTACAGCTTTCCCCAAAAATTGACTTAAATTTGGTCCATTGTGAAATTTCTGCAACACTGCAGAAGTTATGCGATTCAGTAAATTTGATTCTAATACTAATTCTCATGTGCCTTTAGAAACAGTTCGCTTAAGTATTTCGGGGAATGTCTTACTTTCGCATATTTGCTTAGAAAGAATTAGAAAGAATTTCTTTTTAGATCGTGCATCGAGCCAGTATTGCATTGCCGGTAATGCAATCGATCCGCTCCCAGACTCGCGCTATCTGTAAACAAATGTAAAATATGCAATGTAAGGGTTGGAAAAAATTTTGTGAAATTTTGTCAATTTCAGACATTTCGCATACTTTCAGAATTTTTAGAGAAATTAGTTTGTCCGATTGCCGTTTAGCCGCGCAATTCTTTAACGAATTATGTGACCTTCTGGCTTTGTAACGTCATCGCTATGGTACGATGAGCAGTGCCATAATTTCTTCTTATATAATATATATGTCTATAAAGCAACTAGCATCTCTAAAGACGCATCTCCAGGTTAAGATAGCATTCATAACAACCATCTCAAGGAATTTCAAAATATGCTAACCACCGGCTACGTGGCTTCATCATATTTTGACATCCAAGCTATCATCTTGAAGGAAAAAATATAACCCGCCTATTAATCTTAGCTCGTACGGAAGTATTGTATTAGTTTACAACGCGCCTGGGGGTGGTATCTCGAATCCGCTTTCCAATATGGTTTTAGGCGTCTGAGTTGCGCCATAGACAATATTGTTACTTTTTGATGTGCAATCAACTCAGCCAAGGGTCATATTCTCGTTGTCTGCTCCTTGATTCTGTTAAGATTAATAACTGAAAGTCATGGCAAACAAATAAAAGCATGGGGCGCCAAAATTTTTAAGTGTGCTGAGTATGCCAATTTCTTGCAAGAAGTCGGATCAAGGTGTGTAAAATTTCGTGTAAAATTTAAATTATTTTTTATTAAAATTGCATATCTATTGAAAGAAAACTAGTTAAAGTATTCTATTCCCCATATAATCATCCAGGTCGCATATCTTTATGGGCAGAATTTGAATTGTGTGCCTCTTCCATCCTGCCAATAATATATTTTGTGATTGCTTGCAAAAGAATCGTAGCACTTTTCGAAAAAACAATAAGTCGTCTATTGAACGCACCAGGAGAAAAAATATTTGCTGAAATATTGCTGCCGAGCCGAGTGATATGAGTCTCTAATGCAGATAGTAGGCGCACGCCGCTATTGAGTGTCATAACTTAAACGAGATTCACCTCTTAAAAGGATGCGAGCCGTTAATTTGCTTTCATCAGGCGAAGAAGGGCGTTCTTAGAATACTTTCATTTCTTGTATCATCATAGGCATCTCTCCAACGTCTCGGATTGTTATACACTTCAGACGTTTTTGATCATTGTAATATTCATCCCTCGGTGTATCGTATTCACCTCTCCAATTTTCATCAAAAATTAGGCATTTTTGCCATATTAAGGTTTACTTTTCAATAGAAACCTTGCATAGGATAGAATTCAACTTAGATAGACCTATGTAGTCCAAGTACGATAAAGTAATAAACTACAAAAATCAGATTTTATTTTTAATATTGAAAAAAATAATATTGAGAAAAACTTTAAAGAAAAAACGAGTACCAACGATTTAATTACCTTTAACAATAAAAACTGAAAAGAAACATTGCATGAAAATATATTGATTTTTCCGTTTTCGCTCTATGAGACGATCAATAGTGAGAATATTTTGACTTTTGTCGTTTACTTACGAAGATAATGACGATGGAATCCGATTGATTGAAACAAAACATTTAGAAATTTTAATTTTTGCGCTTATTAAATAACTTTACCTGTTCACTACATTAATCTGCACAGGACTTAAGATAGATCCATCTTTTACTATATCGATCAATACAGAAAGTGATTATGAAGCGTTGGGCCGTCATTCTGCCCACGTATTTTTATATTCAGCGTACAGTTCGCAATTTTTGAGACAATGCGTTTAAATATTATACAATGATATGGTTTGGTCCAACGATCACTTTTTTTTTGATTACTCCACATATAACGACTCATATTGAAAAGTCATTATGGGAAGAAATATTGTATTTTCGAAAATTTAGCAACAAAAATCGCTAGATAACAGTGTTTCGACATTTTAAATTAGTTTGAAAAATTTGCATCGGCGGGGCAATTTTCTATGCCTTCTCTTATATAAGCGTTGCTACGAAAACTGATTCCTTATATTATAGTAAAACGGATATAATTTTGAATATTTCATGGTAAGAATTAGTTCATAATAGTAAATTGACATAGAAATCAATCTTAACGAATTTGAATCACTTAGGTTCATTTGTTGGATATAAGAATTCCTCCAATATGCGGACCTAATCATGCAAATAATGCGTAATTGTTGATGTATTATAATCAAAACGAATAAGTGTAACTGTATTAGGCAAAGTTGTGTAGGCTAGCAAATAGACAGCGTCGGCCGACTATAACGTTCTTACTTGTATTTTCCAAATGTGTTTCTAGGGCATAGAAATATACATCAGTGCTCGATCGTGTAAGCAATTTTGATTAGCGTAAATATTGGAATAAATTGTTCTTCCATCCTCCACACGCCCATTAAAATTATGATTACAATTTCAACATATTGGCTAAAGCAAATTAATCTTCTGCTTTTCAATCTCGTCACATCACAATTAGACTATCAGCAAAATCTGTTCATTCAATTTCGCCGACGATTATCAAAAACCGATATATTACTCCGCTTGTGACGCCAAAATTGTAAGCCCATCAAATTGCAATTTTGAAACTGTATCAAATGTCCTCTCAATGGAATCGAGTGATTGGGTATCATTGCGTGAATTTCGGAAATCATTGAAATAGCATCAAGGATCCAACGTTCATTTATCAGAAAGTCACATCTAAAAAAAAAAAAAATAAAATATAGTCGTTAATTTTAATGCCGATCAGGTGCTATCAAATACATATATGTAAAAAGTACATACAATAAGATATATGATCTACGTTGCCGATTGAATCTATTTTTGGTCTATTTGTTTGTAATCAAGTATTATAGATTAACTATGGGCACAAAAAGATTCAATTGAATCCTTTTTCTTGTTTTTTTTTTTATTAAATAGAACATTGTAGTATCACGGCAAAATATATTAATTTTACGCAAGATATCTGTTAAATTTTCGGCTATAGATCGAAATTTATTGAAATTCTACATATCCGGATGGATTATTTCAGTTTTTTTTTTTTAGTTAGTTCACGCAGACGCATGCCTAATCCTTCGAGTCCTACGCCTACTGCAACAAATAAGAATATTATAGCCGAACAAAATCGATTCATATAGATGTCTCCTATAGCTAAGAAATTACTAAATATTATGCCTTGTTACTGTTTAAAAGCGTACTTTTTATGGAAGAGAGCCCGAAATGTAAACTAAAGTACTCTAAATTTAGATAAATTAATCATCTCGTCAAAGATCTTATTATCGTTATATCATTGTTGCCATAAAAAGGCTTATTTTTTATAAGTTCCCTTATAAGGCGTAGATTAGAAAAACTGATCCAAATTTGGTACAATTGATATTTAGGTCAAACTGCTATTATAGAGTTGTTCTCTCTGTGAAATGTTGAGAATTGCACGGACGATTTTGCAATACAAATGCTTTCCTTTCGTAGAAGCGCGATTTTTTCAATATAAAGCATTATATGGTAATGATGTTATATGTAAGGTGCGACCTTTGGTTAAATTTTGCGTAAATATCACAAAAATTTTGGTGTGTAGAATGATCACAAGAGCCCGCACAGGCACTCGACGGACATGCTTTCATTGGTACAAAAAATAATTTGAAAAATTATTTTGAATCGATCGGTATTATAAATATAAAAGTATTTTTTACATACATCCGCCCAAAAGGTCTTTTGCAACATATATATATATATGTACATTACCTCTAACGCGTAGATGCAAAAATTGAAAGAAATGCTTTAGAAAGCTTGAATTCGTTTTATACTTTGCATCACTGGAGGTGCGTTGTATACTATACTCTATGTAACATCCAAACGGGCTTTCTATTGTGTTGGTTAATTTAGAATCAATTTATCGATCGTCCATCTGTCCATCGGCTTGGTGCAGTTGTCCAGTTATTTTTGCGCTTGTACAGATTGCAATTTTAAAGATATTGAATTTGATACACAGATGTGTTTGAGTTCAAGAACGAACTCTATTGAAAATAGATTTGAGCGAACAACTTTGCGGTTACCCTACACAAAAGACTTTGTTTTGAAAAAAATTTTCAATTGCAATTTTCCAAATTCCAAATTTGATAAAAATCGCTCTGTAACGATATTTCGGCATTCTATCTGATTTTAAAAAATTGAATCGGATATAAAGGTTCCCAAGAAAAGTAAGCCTTTCTATGGCAAAAAAAAATCTAATTTTTAACATTTTATTATGAAAATTGGTCCGTAGTAATAATTTGAAATAAAAATTAATTGTACCAATTTGGACTATTTTTTGAGCTCGACACTATGTAGGCGATCCCATCTCACTTTTTTTTTACATATGAGCAATATATAAGAAGAAGAAGAAGCGAACGTTATCTAATTCTTCACCTAGCTGAATAACAATGTTTTTATTTTTTTTTGCTTCACTCACCGGCCACTATATAATTAATTGGTGAATTTATGGTGAAATATGGATAGTTCCTATTGATATATCATTATAAAACACAACTACAGTGAACCAATTATTTTCTATCGGTTTTCGTGTGAAAATATGTGTTCCATCTGTACCCAATATCCGCTGAGTATTCACAAGGAATATATATATATATATATATATTGAATCGCGCTCATAATAAGAGTGCTTAAAGGAGCACTTAAGGGCGTACTCCACTCGAAAATTTTTTAAAAATAAACCGTCTTTGTTTCTAATGATTTAATGGATACTTTTCAATCTCCTAGAATATAGGGGCCAAATTATCAAAAAGGAATTTTTTCCTTTAAAACATCGCCTTCGATCCCAAGCGCTCCAAAAAATTTGCCTGCATCAAATGAATTCCGAATGGAAAGTCAACGGCATTTCCAAAAAACTATTTGACTTTGGCTATGGGGCGAAGAGCCTTTCAAAAGAAATTAGTGCTTCTGCCAAAGAACTAACAGTGTATAATGCAAATTTTTGACATTAATTTTCTTGCTATATATTTTCTACCATCAATCATTTTGTAATGCAAAGTCTAAAAGTCAGGCTCTTTCATAAAATATGCGAGAAAAGAGAGTAGAGAAGAATGTTTGGATAGGCAAGATCATTTTCTGAAATTGCAAATTAATAGTAAAAGTAAATAAAGGCGTTCCTGTAACACATTTCAAAACTTTGAATGCGTTTTTTTCGAAAGATGATTTTTCAAAACGTCAAGCAGCATGATTTTACCATATTTCATTCCAATTATTTGTAATTTTTTTTTTGTGCTTTTTTTTAATTTAATATTTCAAATAGTTTTTTTTTTTCTTCTCATTTTTCATTCAAATACTCGTCAATTCCACAAAAGTCAATGCTTTTACGATCACCTACTTACTTTTCTAACTATAGACATATATATTAGATTAAGAGGTTTGTCTATTCAATTGCACTGCTTGGCCAAGACCCCCTTAAATTAAATTAAATATACGTCGGGAGGTGTTGCCACTTTTTTATACTTTTTAAAAACATATAATTTCGTTACTTAAATATCTGGTCAATATAGTCGCCGAATATTTTTATTTTATTATCTTTTTTCGATTCAAAAGTAGTGGTCAAAAAAACACTATTCTTAAGGCTATTGCACCTTCTCTCCCCCCTTCGAACGCTTTGCTTATGTAAGTAGGGCATTAGTTCAAAGTTAACCATAGTTAATATTTGTACACTTAATGAAATAAATTCGATCTTAAGGCGTATGAATAAAACGGATCAAGTTGAAATAGGCTTACCGCTTGCCATCCTCCTCTGACATGCATGCAGTGACGGGAAGAGTACATTTTTGCTTTCTGCATTTAACTACTTCGAAGTTTCCTGTCACTTAAATAACGTATCAGTTAAACATTGAAAAACTTATTGAAACGGAAAATTTAACCTAATGGTAACCTAATGTTACATCACATAGAAATAGCTATAGGGCGAAAGCGAACAAAAATATATTTGCTTTCGCGATTTTAAGAGGTGCTATCTGTTCTTCTTATTAGAATCGCTATGATAAGTAAAACAACCAGCATCGTCTGTATCTTTTGTATTCAAAAAAAATTTCCTATCACCTAATAGGTGCCTCGTGAAATAATTCGTATCGTAAGAAATTCGTGTGTAAGAAATTCTAATTTGAAAACCAGATTGTTTTACAAAATGAAGTAAGAATACAAATCAAAAAACTGTAATAATTACACGAACTGTCTTCTCCAATATTTTTTTTTCTTTTTCTTTGAAATTCAAATGATTTCGATTTGTATTTCTTCTTTTCTTTTTTGTTTTTTTTGTGCGTCAAATATTTATTGTGGTAAATAGGTAAATTTAAAAAAAAAAAAAAAAAAGGAAATAAGTAACAGGAGAATGAATTCATTTTTCCCAAGGAGTTTTCAGTCAGATTTCAGATTTATTTTCGCAAAATTAAACTTTCTGGTAGCACTGTTGAGTTCATCAAATTGCATTTACGTTGTTTATCAATTGCAAACCTTGTGTGTCTATGAGCATAAATTTGCTAAGAATATTGGACAAAATAATATAAACTTCTTTCAATTGTGCAAAATAAAAAAATCGAAAATTTTTGAGAAGCATTCGTTAAATATATTAAATTAAACAGGCAGGAAGGCCATCAAACATATATTTGTTTGCTGCGTTTTTGGTAAGTATATGGATAGGAAAATGAAAACAAAGAAAGAAATGAAATACAGCATGATCTTACAGTGACAAGCAAAGAGGTCAAAAGTGGTGGGATAGTAACCAATTGTAGAAAGTTTTCTTGATTTGTTTTGCGGCTGCTTCATACAAAGAGGGAGTTATCCAAAAAAAAAAAAAAA